AAAAAAAAAAAAAAAAAAAAAAAAAAAAAAAAAAAAAAAAAAAAAAAAAAAAAAAAAAAAAAAAAAAGAAATAAAAGGTAATGATAATGTGTTTGTGAAGTGGCCGATTGCTGGGAGGTCACGGCTGTGTGTGCAAACTGACACCAGTGTGTGGTGGTGTCAGGGTCTGAAACAATGAACTCTTGGTAAAGTTCTCAACTAAAGTGCACGTTTCCTCCTCTTTACACAGTAGCTGCATTTCTGGAAAATCCAGTGTATACTAGAATGCATGCTGTGTTTATATGTAAAATGGAGTTAGAGCCTTGGCTCTGGGAATTAAAAAGCCTTTCACTTAGAATCTGCCTTCCTTGCAGGGCTGTCTGGCGTCCCTGGCACCACCCTTGTAACTGCCTGTCATTGTGATGACTGGTCCCCTTATCCCCTTCCTCCACAGTGGCCACAACAGGAAAGATTCCTGCCCTGGTTCAGGAGCTCAGTGTTGGAACCAGGGAGATGGGCGTGAGCAAAAATTGGATATATGTCAGGTTGTGATGAGCACAATGAAAAAAAAATGACCAGGTGGACAGGTGAGGGAAGGCCTCTCTGAGGAGGTGGCATTTTGAGCAGACACCTAAATGAGTGAGGGAGCCATGGAAATACCTGGGGGAGGAGCCTTCCAGAAAGAATAACCGGTGCAGAGGTGGTGCAGTGGAAGCATGTGTGGCTTGTTCAGGATCAGGAGGCCCAAGCAGCAGGCACAGAGTGAGGGGTGAGGGGCTGGGCAGGTGGGGAGGTGGCTGGGTGTGCAGCTTCACTGTGTTGAGCTTTATAAGCCACATAGAGCTTTGGATTTTCTCTGTCACGGAGTGGAGGCCATCGGAGGGTTGTAAACAGAAGAGGGACAAGGGACACAATCAGGTTTTTTTAAAAAATTCTTTTCTTTTGAACCTCCTTTTAGCTGAACAGTCAGAGTTTTTAAAGGCTCACTCTGGCTACTGCATGGTGCCTGGACAGTGGTGGGGAAGAGTGGGAGACCAGGAGGCCAGAAATGGGGGCTTACAGTGGTTGCCATGGAGCTGTGACAAGTGGTCACATTCTGCCCATGTTCTGAAGGTAGGGCCAGCTGACAGGAGCAGCAGTGGACATGCGGTGTGAGAGAGGATGAGAGGGAGGGAGGGAAGGAGGGACGCAGGGACAGAGAAAGTCAAGGCCAACTCGGCTTTAGCACCTGAACGATACAGACACCAAGACCATTCCTCATTCCCTTTGCCACTTCCGCTAGCTTGACAGCTCATTTGGCTCTTCCCAGGGACACTGGAGACCAGGGTGGCTAAAGGGGATGTCAGCCTCTCAGTTCTCATTTGGTTTGACCTTTCAGGAGCACGTGAGTGGTCAGTGTGACCGCACTGGTGCGACCCATCCTTCTGGTACTTTCCCCGTCCTTTGCTGCCACAGGTCTCACAATAATAACCTGTGAAAGAACAGCAATCCAAGAAGTTCGATTTTTCTTTATTTTTAAATTGACCGACTAACCACCAAGGAGCTTAGATCAATACACCAAACTGTTCAGGAGTGCCAGGGTGTACCAGGCCCAGACCCAGGTGCTGAGGAGGTAAAGGTGAGCAAAGCAAAGCCTCTGCCTGCAGGGAACTTGCTGTCTTGTGTTTTGCTGAATGTAAGCGTGACACATGTAGGTGTCCAGGAGGTATATCTGTGCCCTGAACAGAGGCTGAATGGGTGGCGGGACAGGCGTGAGGCTGAACATGGAGACAAAAGTCCAGGGCTGAGAGTGGCAATGGCAGGCTGGGAGCGGGGGCACCTCCCAGCAGAGCACCCAGGATGGGTCAGGCATGGGTCAAATGTAATGGGCAAAATCTGTGGACAGCCGGCTGCTGTGCAGGTGTGGAGCTGTGAGGTGAAGCACCGCAGATGAGCAAAGCCTTCTCACATCTTGAGGGGTGCTCCTCTTGCCCTGAGGACCCTTGACTGGGAAGGGGCTCTGCCTGCACAGATCTTGTTCCTTGTGTGGCCTGGGCGTGGGCTCCTGGACACAGAAGTGGGTCTGCGTGGGTGCTGTGGTATGCCGGGGGAGGGGCCAGCCTCCCTCTAGCTTCATTGCTAGAATGAAGTGCAATCTGCAAAGTCTAAATTTAAGCAGAGGAAGGAAGGAAAGAAGAAAGGAAGGAAGGAAGCCCTTGGCTTCCTATTGAGGGGAGGGAGGGGGAGGGTGGAACAGGAAGAGGCCTGGCTCTTGATAGGTCCAGTCTGGCTCCTCCCAGGGACACTGGAGAACAGCAACACACTGGTAGAATACATACACTGGAGACACAGCAGACCATGTAATACAAAAATCTTTTTTTTTTTTTTTTTTGAGATGCAGTCTCACTCTATCACCCGGGCTGGAGTGTAGTGGTGTGATCTCGGCTCACTGCAACCTCTGCCTCCCGGTTCAAGCGATTCTCCTGCCTCAGCCTCCTGAGTAAATAGGATTACAGGCGCCCACCACTGCACCCAGCTAATTGTTTTTTGTATTTTTAGTAGAGACAGGGTCTCACTGTGTTGACCAGGCTGGTCTCGAACTCCTGACCTTGTGATTCACCCCCTCAGCATCCCAAAGTGCTGGGATTACAGGTGGAGCCACCACTCCCGGCCAAAAATATGTCTTTATACAAACTTTCTGACCTTTTCTTGTCTTGTTTCTTTACAGTAGGACTTCTCTAAGTGTGTGAGAAGCCTACTTCCTTGGCTGCCCTGGATGGGCATGTGGGCACATGGGCAGTCTGTCTGGGGTGGTAGGCTCCCCCACCCCAGATGGAGTTCAGCAAAGATAGGATCAATACTCGTCAGCTGCAGTGGTGCTGGGATGCCCCCCTACCTCCTGCCTGCAAGATCAGGGGCTGGACCAAGCCAAACAGGGAGCTCCCACTTGGGCAATGGGCTGGGGGTGGGCATGGGCCTCAAGAGACTGCTGGGCACTTCAGGTTGCCCTCCCCTAGCCAAGACAGAGGTGTCAGGTGCCACCTGCTGGCTGCAGGGAGCAGGGAGGAGGCACACTCAGAGCTACAGAAAGCCAGCTGGGAATCCTGCACCACCTAGCTGGGATGGAGGGAGATGGGGCTGGGTTGGGGCTGGAGAGGCTGAGACACAGGCGGGGAGGGCAAGAACACAGGAGATGCAGGCCACAGTGGTCCCAGATCAGGAAGTTTTATTGCTGACATGCAGGAAGAGTCCCCATGTAGTACAAAAATATGTCTTTATACAAACTTTTTTGTGACTTTTTCCGTTTTGTTTCTTTACAATAGGACTTCTCTCAGTGTGTGACACCCAGTGAGGGCTGACCCATCCTCCTCTCATTTGCTTCACCAGAAATGTAATCAGACACATGGCTTGACCTTGGAAGGGCCCAATCTGTCTGACAGGGCTTTGCAGACCTGGAGGCTATTGCTTTGAAAAGGAGGAGAGAGATCACGCATGGGCAGCAGGCCTGGAGGGGCCAGGTGGGCTGCTGGGCAGGGGCACTGCCGCGACGGGCCCTGGCCCAGCCTCAGGCCCTCACGGGGGACAGTCGAGGGCTGGGAGCCCTAGGCCAGACTGCATTTCCGCTCCCTCAGGAGACGTTTATGAAATAAATATAGAAAAGAGGGCATCCCCCAGCCCCACGGCCCAAGACCCTGGCCCTCAGCGCTGGACAGCTGAGACAGACACAGGGCTCGCCGCTCAGGGGGAGTAAGTGCTGGGCTCCGGTGGGCTCTCCCACAGGCCCACTAGGCAGAGGCGAGGTGCCCAAGTGCTGGATGGGGCATGGGGAGGAAGGGGCGTGGGCAGCCCTGCTACTGCTGGCAAGAGGTGGCCCCATTTTTTCCAGATGGGGAAACTGAGGCACAAGGAGGTTTGGGAACTTGCCCAAGGTCACTCACAGTGAGTCAGCTTTTTGGGGGGAGGAGAACAGCTTGCACTCTGGGAAACACAGTCACTTCCCCACTGGGGAGCAGGGCCAGGCAGGAGGAGCTCAGGGCTCATGACTGCTTGGAGGGGACACTCAGCCTTTCTGAGGGCATATGGGGCATAGGCCTCTGGGGAAGGGTCTTTGCTTGGCATCAGGCAGGGCCAAGTCCAGTGAGGGCAAAGGGGAGGGGAGGGCATTCTGGTGAGAACAGCATTTCTGGCAAGACGGGCATCCACTTCAAAATCTCGGCTCAAAAGGGCAGCAGGGCTGTTCTCAAGCCAGGCATGCAGGGTCCCCCAATCCCTACGATTCTCCCCTGAGTCCCCCACTGCCCATGGAGGACCCTGGCTAAGGTCTACAGGGAGAGAATCCACATCTAGTATGAGGCAAGGGCACAGGGAGATGTCCCCACCATCCTCTGAACACAAGAGTAGGGTGGGAGCAGGGAAGCATGCAGGCAGGCCCCTGCTCACAGCCAGGCCTGCCACCTGACCCCTGGGGCCCTTCACATCGGGAGTCCATGTAAGCTTGGTACCACGGGGAAGGATGGAGAAAGGAAAAGGTTAACACGCGTGTACAGCACCTCAGAGAAGCCACTGAGACGGGAGAGAAAGAGCCAGGTCTAGAAAGGCCTCCCATCACCAGCAGCAGAGAGGGACTGGCGGGCTGAAAGTGGACAGGGGCCGGCAGGAGGGCCTTCCCTGCCTGGGGGTGAGGAGGGAGCCCACGTGTGGGCTGTGGACTCCCTGCTGTCCAGCCAGGCTGGGGGCAGGGAGTGGCCGTGGGCTGAGCCACCTAGAGATGGGAGAGACGTTGGTTACGGTATAAAAATAAATATATTTGAGTTCGGCTTAAGATGAGGTGAAGGTTTTCCAAAGCTTGGACTGAGGGCCTGGATCAGAAGGAGGGGGACGGAAAGAGGCTGTGGCAGGGGCCTGGGAGAGAGGGAAGGAGGGGACGCTCGCTCTGGGGCCTGAAGCGAGCTGCACTTTCAGCTTATTTGGACTGTGGGGAGCAGTGCCCGGGTCAAGTGGTGGGCGCTGGGGAAGGCCCTGGGGCAGAGTGAGCAGGCCCCCTCCTCCTCCCTCTCGCTCAGTCCAGAGACAGCATGGTTAAAGAGACAGAGGTAGATTAAAACATCATGATTAAAAGCAGATTAGTTATCTAGGCTTCTCAGATTTAAAAACCAAACAATCAAGCAATCATACCAAAAGGTAGCTTTGTGGTACCTCTGCTGACCCCACGTGTGACCTGGGCTGTCCCTGTCCCTGCCCTGTTCCTGTTGCAGCCTGGGAGAGTCCAGCACTACAGGGCCCAGCCCTGACAGCCAGGCCTTTGGCTAGGGCTGGAAGAGGTGGCGGCGGTGCTGGTAGCCCTGGCTGAGGCCGCTATTTCCGCAGGTAGCGCTGTGCCAGGATGGCCGTGTCCAAGGAGGTCATGGGCTGTGCGTCATGGCCTAGCCGCCGCACTGGGGGCACGCTGCCGAACTGCCGCTTGGGCATCCAGCTCCGGGCATCATGGATGGAGCTCTTCTCCTCAGCCAGCAGCAGCTGCTGCCGCATGTAGTTCTCAAACTCGTACTGGGAGCACTCCTCAGTCACCTTCGCCTTTGAGGCCGGGAGGGAGCGAGACAAAAAGAAACTCAGATGAAGACGGTGCAGCAGATGGAGGGCAGGCATGAGTGCGGCGGCCTGGCTCCTGCGTTCCCCCTTCCAGGCACCACACACTCAGGCCTCATTGAGCGAGGGCTAAGGGTAGGTCCCTGGCACCCTCTGGCCAACCTGCACTTGCCTTGCAGGCCGCCCCTCGGCCTTGGGACTGACACAGAGCCACGCTTCCTAATTCGCTGGCTACCAGAGAGGTCACCACCTCAGAAGCCATAGCTCTCTGGCCCCTCACAAAGGTTCTCTGAGCCCTGAGGCAGCCAATGCATGTCAGGAGCTACGAGCGAGCCCCAGGCTGGGTGCTCAGCACCCAGGGGAGCCACATACACCCAGCCCCATGCTGAGCTTCCTGAGGTGGTCCAGGCAGATGGTAACAGAAGAAGCTGAAGTGGTGTCCCCGTGCCAGTCATCACAGAGGACAACAGGGCTTTGGGATCAGACTTAGGGTCAAGGCTCAGCTCCACTACTTCCAAGCTGTGTGACTTCGGGAAAGTCCTTACCTCTCAACCCTTCAGTTTCCTCTTCTGTAACATGGGGCTAAGAACACAGGCCATGAAGGCCCGCAGTGAGGACTGAATGAGGTGCCCTCGGGGTAGGCACTCACTGTGGGCTAGTGATGATGACTTTAGCCGAACAGCCCAGAAAAGGTGGGAGCTGGCAGTGGGTAGAGACTGTAACGCTCTTTCCTCAGAGGCCAGGCGGCTCTGGGAGGCTCTCCCAGGCAAGGAAGCTCATTCCAATATCCAGGACCCAGCAACACTGTGGCTAGGCTAAGCCCTGCCCTCCAGGGGGCACCCTAAGATCACCTGCCCACTGCTGCCTGGTGCCCAAGTCTCTGCCCCCACCCTGGGCCCAACACTTTCTCCAGTGCAGGGAATGGGGAGGAGAGAAACAGGGAGAAATGAATCATCTGAAAAATGAAAAGCAGGAAGGGTGATAGAGAACTCTGAGTCAGAGGGGCAGAGAAATGTGACCTGGGCAGCAGGAGGAAACTGAGGGCTGGCCTGGGCCTCCTGGGCACTGGCTCCAGCTCGGCGGCCCCGCAGGCTTTCTGGCCACAGATCTCCTGCTACACTAAGCCCAAGGCAGGCCCCAGACAGCTCAGGTTGAAAACTGAAGTCTCCCTTTCCCACCCCAAGGCTGGGGAAGAAGACCAATGAAGCCCCGTGGCCCGCAGTGAGCTGGCACTTCTGCCCTTGCTCTGGCTGCCCCCAGAAGCCCATCCCGTGGAGCTGGGTAAGGCACAGCCCATCTGCCCTCCCCAACTCACCTCCTGGGAGCTATCCGCATTGCTCATTTGGTCATCGATGTCAGGAACCACTTGCAACGGCCCACTCAGAGATGACAGGGACTGCCTGCAGGGGGGCAGACGGGTCAGGCTGGCCCCAGAGAGACCAGGTGTCCACTGGCCTCAGATTTAGCTGGAGTCAGACACACCTGGGTTGTGTTCCTGCCACGAGACTCTGGTTCTTTATGCCTCAGTTTTCTCATCCCATAAAGGGGGGCAATTTCTCCCTCACAGGTGGTGGTGAAGCTCAGTGAAGCAATGCCCATCCCTCGCTGGCATGGCCTGGCAACCATGGCAGCCCATCGTTGCTCAACCTTCAGCTCTGCCTATGTATGCCCTCCCAGTCTTGCCCATGCAGAGAATCTGGAAATCTGACTCTTAACTGGCAGAGAAACAGGCTGACTGCAGGCTGCTTTTCTGGGTAGCAGAGGCCCTAAGGACACAGCTTTGTGCCTGGACCAGCACCTGTCCACTTACCACGATGCAATGATGGCACTGAGGGCCTCCAGGACGTCGGCGGCGGCCAGGCGCTGCTGGGGGTCAAGGACCAGCAGCTTCCGGATGAGACACACCGTGTTCTCAGAAACTCGTCCATCCCTGAGGCAGGGAGTTGGGAAGGGTGGGTCTCAGTGGGTGGTGCTGGGTATGTGACCAGGATGCCCAGGCTCACTGTGCCATTCCCCTGCCTTGAGCCCATCAGGCTGGCTGCCCCCCAACCCCCCAGGAAGCAGGACTTACTCAGGGATGGTGTACTCGGCAGCCTTGATCTTGCGGAAGAGCTCCTGAGGGATGCTGTCGTAGAAAGGGAACTGGCCATACAGCATGGTGAAGAGCACCACGCCCAGGGCCCACATGTCACTGGGCTTGCCGCGGTATGGCCGGCCTGCGGACAGACACACACCACACTCAGCCTTCGGGCTGCAGCACTACCTGGGCCCACCAGCCCCGTGCCTGGAATCCCACCCAGGACCCTCCACCTGTCACCCCCACTTCCGGTCCTCCCAGAGCAGTCTTCTGAGCTCCTGCCTGTGCTCCCCTCTCCCCTGTTCCTCAGGATGTGCCTCTCCTGACCCCTGAGGAGAGGGCTCAGTCAGCACCTGCTCACAGCACCTGCCCTGCCCGGCCAAACACCGAGGCCCTGGGAGCCAGGCCTGGGTCTGCAGCCCCAGCACCCAGCACAGAGCTCACAACTGGGGGTTCAAGAATGTTGGTGGCACAGCAGATAACTAGCTGGCTTCAGATGAGCCAGGCACTCTGCCCGTCACCATCCACACACCCCTCTGCCTCCTTCACAGCCCAGACGACCACTTCACGGTCCCCTCCTTTGTCTACTTGTGACTCCCACCTCCCTGCTAGAAGGGAAGTTCTCAGGTGCAGGTGCCTCCCTCCTGTGTTCACTGTTAAGCCCCAGTGCCCAGCACGGACTCAAGTATTTGCTAAATGAAGGAATGTCCACTTAATTACCCTCTCTGTATGAGTTTCCTTGTCTGTAAAGTGGAAGGAAACAGACATCTGACTGAGCACCTGCTTTAGGACAGTACTGGAAGAAACACTTTTAGTTCTGGCTCACGCCTGTAATCCCAGAACTTTAGGAGGCCTAGGCAGGCAGATCATGAGGTTAAGAGATCGAGACCATCCTGGCCAACATGGTGAAAACCCGTCTTTATTTAAAAAAAAAATAATAATGAATATTCTTTAACAGACTTCTGCCAT